ACATTTGCAGATGAGCCTTACAGGGAATGTGTGCTATAGATCAATGTGGAGCTAGGAGAAGGGAAAGGGTGCTGGATATTTTGAGGACTCTTTATTTATGGTGTGTTAGGTTTCAGGGAAGCATTTGCTACTGGTGCTTTGATATGTACCGGCAGTATGTTTTCTCTTTAAAGTCGGCCGCCCCCATAACATATATGTTCCATTTTTTCTTTTTATTTAGAATTTTTTAATGTGAATAGCCATTTTGGCAGAACTTCAGGAAAGGCATATAAAATAATTGTTCTGTATAACAGGTTTGAATCACAGTATTTTTGAGACATTAAATTGGATCATCACGGGAAGTGTTGATGTTCAAAACCCATCTCTCTAAGTTGTTTTTTTTAAAGGCCTAAATTATGTCTCATTTCAAGTTTTTTTTTCTTGGGTTATTTTTATAGGATAGTCTTATTACAAGAATGAAGAATTACCACATTGTTGAGATCTCTGGCAGTTAGTGGATCGAGCAGTGAGCATTCTCTGTGTATAAAGTGCAGATTTGTTTATCACCATCCATCATGGATACCTGGGTTGAGAAGGAGGTTTTCCTCAGAGGCACAAGGTTGGGAGGAAGGAGAGCGAGAGGAGAGCAGTTTGAAAAAAGTAAGTTGGAAGCAATCAGATGCAAATTAACAATGCTGGATTATCCACCAAGGTGTCCCTGAGTGGTTTTGGAGCCTAGGAGTTATTTTGAGTTGCTTTTTTCTCCCTCACTCTTCACATCCATTTGTTCATCATCAGGCAGTATTCTCACGGATCTTCGTCTCTTTATCCCACGGTAGCCAGCATCACTGCTAGCCTTTTTTGGCCTATAATAAAGGTTTTCAATTTTTTTTTTTTACTAAGACTCACAGTACGAGGTAGCATTTTATTTGATAGCCTAATCCACCGAAACTTACAAATTGTGTCACAGTTTTTATAAGCAATATTTGATATTTCAAGCATAATGATCTCCGATATTTTCACATTTCTGCCCCATTTTCTCCACTCTCCTCTTATTACTTTTTAAAAAAGGAGGGAAATGAAATCCACTAAGTGGATTTTATAACACACAAATAATAACGGTAGCTAGAAAAGCAACCCTTGGCCTGCATAGGAACAGAAAGTCATGAGGTCTTCCCATTAGAGTCTGTTCATATTGCATGTTGGAAAGTTAGATTAGAGGGACAGCTCTGCTGCCTACTCTCCTGTGTGACTTTGCATCGTTATTTTGCTTTCAAGTTTGGTATCCCTGTTTATGGGGATTATTTAAGGAACAAGTAAAAAAATGCTTAGTAAACCATGCATTTAAAATATTAATAGTATGATTAGTAACATGCACTTTTTATTGAGGTATGGTTTACATACAATGTATTGTACCAGTTTTGAGGGTGCAATCTGAATTTTGACAAATATATGCAGTTATGTATATGCTACAGTCATGACAGGAAGGATTTCATCACCCTTGTTGTTTCCTATGTGCTCCTTTGCAGTTGGTTCTCCTTGTGGCTCTTGACAGACCCTTTTCTTCACTATAGTTTAGTTTCCAGAATTTCATATAAAGGGGATCACAAAGTATCTTATCTGTGTCTGGATCATTACTTGGTAGAACTACAATTGGTTGGCTTCTTTCCACTTTGGGGCTTTTATGAATGAAGCTACTGAGAACATTTTTATTTCAAGGAATTTCTTCTTTATTTCATCTGTGTTGTTGAATTTGTGGACATACAGGTATTTGTAATATTTCCCTATCTTTTTAACATATGATCTGTATTGATGACCTCTTTTTCAAAGTTGATATAGATACTTTGTGGATTTTAGTTTTTTCTTGTTTTAGCTGACTAGTGTCATGTCAATCTTTTAAAGACTAGCTAATTAAAAAAAAGTTTTAGTTGTAGATGGACACTTTATTTTTATTTATTTTTTTATGTGATGCTGAGGATTGAACCCAGTGCCTCGCATGTGCTAGGCAAGTGCTCTACCACTGAGCTATAGCCCCAGCCCCAGCCCCAGATAGTTTTTATTAATTTTGTATATAGTTCATTTTTCCCATTTATTTATTTTATCTTGATTATTTTATTCCTTCTGGGTTTTTGTCCTGGTGTTTAAAGATAGAAGTTTTAAACATTGATTTGAATTTCCACTAATGAAGACTTATTGCACAATGTACTTATAGAGAGAGCTGCTGTAGCTTTGTCTCACAAATTATGTGATGTCTTCATTTTTGTTCACTTGAAAATATTTTATACTTCCCTGTTGATTTCTTCTCTCATCTCTGGTGATATGTTTTGGTGTATATGGTTTTATTCTCAAATATTTAGGATTTTTCTGCTGTCTTTCCCTATCTGATTTGCAGTTCCTTTGTGGTCAGACTATGATTTGTATGATTTTAGTCCTTCCCAGCATAAGTCTTGCTATATGTCCAGAATGTTGCTTGTTTTGGTTAATGAGCTCTGTGTTTCTGCTTTTGTTGGATTGAATCTGGAGATAATAAAGAGGTCATGATGTTTGGTAGTATTCACATTTCCTATATTGCTATTGATTTTTTGTCTCCACTTCTAATCATTATTAAGAGAGCAGGATTAACGTCTCCAACTATAATTTTGCATTTTATTTATGTCTCCTTTCAGTTCTACCAGTTTTTGCTTCATGTATTTTGAAGCTTTACAGTGACAACCATATAGTTGTCCCTTGGTCTCCATGGGGTATTGGTTTTAGGATCCCAAATTGTAAGAGCATAACTAAGGGTGATCCTGGAGGAGGCTGGACATCCACAGTATTAGGCTAGGGGCTTTGGAGCCTCTCCTCTGGAACATGTGTGGACAGTAAGCTGCTGGTGCAGAAGCAGGCTTGGCATTCTTGTGCCATTTTCTGGACTTTATGCTGCCTGAAGCTCTCCTTGTGTAGCACAGAAGTCTAAGTCTCCTGGCCATAGGAGAAGAAGCCCAGGCAAGGATCCATGAATGTTAGATTCTAGAGTCCTCCATAATATTATTTTAAAGGACATAAGGAGGGCAAGAGTTCTATTGTACCACACGGTGAGCATTATGTTCTTTATTGGTGTGGTGTACCAAGTATTGAACTCAGAAGCACTTAGCCACTAAGCCACATCCCCAGCCCTTTTACTATTTTTTATTTTGATACAGAGTCTCACTATGTTACTTTGGCCTCACTAAGTTGCTGAGGCTGGCTTGAGATCCTCCTGCCTCAGCCTTGCACGTTGTGGGGTTTCCGGGCTTGTACCACTACACTGGCTAATTTACTGTATTCTTGATGAATGCTAATAGGTAATGCCATGTTTTCTAAGCACTAAAATGATGATTATATGAAATAATGCATTTGTTCATTAGCTGGATTTAGTCATTTCACCATATATTTATATTTTAAAATACCCTGAAATACTTAGTAAATATATAAAATTTGGCAATGAAATGAATCAGTAAGTAACCAAAGTTATAAAAATTATAAAGCAAGTAATTTTTCTTGATTGCTGTGTTTTGACTTCATTCAGGTAACACTGACATAGGCTGTGTGTGTGTGTGTGTGTGTGTGTGTGTGTGTGTGTTTACCATTAAAAATATTTGTCCATATTTCTCCTTAGAGACCATAGGCTCTTTGCCCCTTTTTGTATATCTGTAATTGTCATCCAAAAATCTGTTATATCCAGGATTCTGCCACAGTAGACAGAAAGTGGTCTTCAGACAGTCCCAAGAAAGCCAGAAATGTTCACATTTTACATTTCCCTTTTCCTAATTAGAGAAAAGAAGGGAGTTGGTGGATTTATTCTGGAGGAGAAAGGCCTGTAGTGGATCAATATAATACACTTTCATTTCCTCTGCTATATCACTCTGCTAATGGTCTATTCCTCTTGGACACTGTGAACTCTCAGATGGTTTGGGTAATTCTAACAAAGTAATTTTGTCTGTCCATTGTTATTTAGCTCATATATTTATAACTGATGGCCTTGGATGTACTATTCTGCCACCCTGATGATGTCCTGACTGCTATAATTTCATGTTATATTTGCAAAGTAAATTCCCAGTCTAGAATGTAAAATCATTGTCATTTTCATTTATTTCAGCCATGACCTCTCTTCATACTTAGGAAATTTCACCAGAATCTGGCATAGAACATTTATTTTAAAAAGTGATAAAGAGAAGATATGGAAATTGTGACCTCAACTATTTACAACAAAAAAATGGAGACTATGTAGGTAAGAGTGAAGGTCAGAAATCAGAAATCATCTTGTCAGTACAAGACAAATTAGTACTGACTATGTATAATGAAAATTTTACCATCAGCAGACCTCAAGAACATTTAGTACCTCAGAAAAGTATTGAACTTATAACTGAAGGACAAGTTTATAAAAGGGATCATTTTGAAAGTTTCTTGACAAACTGCAATAAACAAAAAATTTCTTCTTGTACCCAAATGTACACTTTTAATGATTGTGGGAAGGCCCCTATGTACTCTATACTGCTTAATCAAAATTCAGATATAGATTACTGGAAAGTGTGTAACACATGTAATGAAACAAGCAAGACCTTCAGCCAGGTCTCTACCCTAAGCAACCAGTGCACTTAATTGGAGAAAACAATTACAAATGTAGCAAAACACAGAAGAACTCCAGCTCTGGTTGCAATATGAGAGAACATCAGTGTGCTCATTGTACATAGAACCTTTACAGAGATGACAAATGTGGGAATGTCTTTCTTCGGTGCTCAAAGCTGATGACCCATCCAAGTACTCAGGGCCAAAAGATGCCTTGCATATGTGAGGAATGTGAGAGAGCTTCTAACTCAGCTGCTAGCCTTCCTCAATACAGTGGAGCTCATCCTGGAAGGGAGTCCCCCAAATTTAAGGAATGTGTCCAAGCACGGAGTTGCTCACCCCTTTCTAAACACCACAAGTACCATAGCAGTGATCAACACTACAAATTCAAAGATTGTGGCAAAACTTTTAATTGAGGACCTCCCCCTGTTAAGCACCACAGAACTCATAGTGGAGAGAAACCCTACAAATGTGAAGAATGTGGCAAATCCTTTAAACATTACTCCTTCCTTTCTAAATACCTAAGATGGCATAGCAGTGAGAAAACCTACAAATGTAAGGAATATGAAAATCTTTTTAAGAATTTTTCAACCCTAACTCAAAATCAAAGGATTCATACAGGAGAGAAATTCTACAAATGTGAAAAATGTTGCAAAGGTTTTACTCAAAGAACAGGCCTTACTAAACACCAGAAAATTCATACTGGAGAGAAGCCCTACAAATGTAAGGAATGTAGCCAAGCTTTTAGTATAATTCATCTTTTACCAAACACCAGATAATTCATACTGGAGAAAAACCCTACAAATGTGAAGAATATGGGAAAGGCTTTATTCAAAGAGAACACCTCACTCAACACCAGAGAATTCACACTGGAGAGAAGCCCTACAAATATGAAGAATGTGGTAAAGGTTTTACTCAAAGAACAGGACTTCTCAACACCAGGGAATTCATGCTGTAGAGAAGCCCTACAAATGTAATGAATGTGGGAGAGCTTTTAGGTATAATTCATGCCTTATAAAACACCAGATAATTCATACTGGAGAAAAGCCCTACAAATGTGCAGAATGTGGGAAAGGGTTTAATCAAAGAGCACACCTTGCTGGACACAAGAGAAATCATAATGGGGAGAGGTAAATACAAGTGTAAAAACTGTTGCAGACTTGTCAGCAATCACTCAAACATTGTTAATCACTGGAGAATTCACAGTGGAGAGAAACCCCAAACAAGAAGGTAAATACTGTGGCCAAATCTTTACTCAAATTTCAAATTTTCTTTATCTTTAGAAACCTAGTACCTATAAAAAATGTGGAAAGACATTTGCCTGACATACATGCCTTAAATAACAGCAAAATATCTATCATGAAGAAAACACCATGAGAAATATAAAAAATATAGCAAAGCCTTTGTCTTTATCTCCTATCTAGATAGATGTGTGTGTGAGAGGAAAATGAGGAATTGCCTTTAACTTTTGCTTAAAATTTGTTATACATCCTTAGCTAATGTAGGAAAATAAAGAAATTCTCACAAATATCATAGAATAGTGCAGAAAACTTGTCTCTGTAAGGATACAAATTCATTATAAACCAAAGATTTTTCAATATTTTAACTTTTCAAAACTGGAGGAAATAATTCTTAGATCCTTTTATCGGAAGACTTGTTCCTGAGAGCTGTTATTTTTGAGACTTTCCAGTGAATTTTGAAATACTTTATTCCCATTATGTATGAATTTGTTTATTAAATAAAAGTAAAATTTGTTAATGTGTTAACATTGTTATTTATTGAATCATGGTCATATGTGACAGGTAACACATTGTTCTTCTTTACTAAAGGTTCTACATAAAAGATAGTAAAAATGTACTAAAATATCTCCATTAATCCTTTTAGAATTGTCAACTCACATGGAGAATAGTAGTCCCATCAATCCAATCTTTATTTATTCTGTTTGTAATCATGGAGATTTTAAGACAGTTATAGGTAAGATATAAGAACATGAAATCGAGCCCAGATTTCTCTATCTTGAATTAGTACTTTCAAATTTTACCCTATAGGGGCTGGGCCCAGTGGTGGACACCTTTAATTCCAGGAACTTCCAGGAGAAAGGCCTGTAGTGGATCCCAAGAGGATCCCAAGATTGAAAGGCAAGAGGATCCCAAGATTGAAGCCACCCTCACTAACTTAGTGAAATCCCAAGCAACTTAGTGTGACCTTATCTCAAAAAAAAAAAAAAAAAAAAGAAAAAAAAGAAAAAAAAGAACTAGGGATGTGACTCAGTGTTTAAGAACCCCTGGATTCAATCCCTGGTGCAAAATAGAATGACAGTACTCTTGAGGACCCTGCAATTTTGGAGAGCAACACAACTTACCAGGGATTTTTGAATACCCCAGAAACCAGGAGTCATCAGTGCATATTTTGTGAAAAGGGGGGCCATTGGAGACAGAGATTCCCAATGCTTGCCTGGGAAGCCTTGTGGTCATCTGGACACTGGCCCATGTGTGGTAGAAAACAAAAAAGGCCGAAGATCCAAGCAGTTCCTCATGAAGTGCCCAAGAGTAGCCCTGAGGAGACTTGGTTCACATCAACAAGTTTAGAAAAACATTTGCCCAATATCAAAGACCTCTTCAGTCTTGGACACCCAGCAGGGAAGTGTGACTAGAAACAAGTGCCCAATAATGAGGGGAAAGACAGAGCCGCACTCAGGGAGCATTTAATGCTCCCACATGATTTATGTAATTATATATCTTTTGACTTTTGTCTTTGACCTTGGCTACCTTTTATTCTATGATCTATCATGGTAATTATACATTGGGGATTGAAGGCTAGAGTGAGTATATGGCACAGGCTTCCGAGATTTCTCTGCCACTGAGTCCTTGTGAGATACTCCAGATTACACCTGTCCCTTTTTAGGTCTTAACAGGAACAGGAACACCTGTCACCACACAGAGAGAAAAACAAACATTTTATTCAGAGGAGACACTGGAATTCCTGCAAGTCATGTTCAGAAGCTAAATAAAAAAGAAAACACAACTATATATATATATATATATATATATATATATATTTGTGTGTGTGTTAGCCCTTTGGGTCAAAGGAAGACCCACAATCATTGATTTGATTGAAATTGATTGGGATATGTAACTATTGGAAGGTCATGATCAATTTTAGGCCTAAAAGATGTGGAAGCAGTGTGTGCTTGGTTCTGATGACTCACTTAAACGTTTTCTAAGGCAAGTTAAATTGTAATTTGGGAGTGACTGGGGAGTTATTGCAATTATTAAGAATATTTGCAGTTTTAGGAAGACACAAGGCCTTTATTTTATGTATTTTTTTTTTTTGTGTGTGTGTGTGTTACTGAGGACCAAACCCAGTGCCTCATACATGCTAGGCAAGCGCTGTACCACTGAGTTACACCTGAAGCCCAAGTTATATTCCATTTTTGGAATAATTTTCAATTTATGTGTAAGAATTGTTATTATTGAGTCCAGAGGGAAGTTTCAATACATGTACGTATTATATGATCCAATTAATAATTCACATAGCTTTCGCTTACATATTTTGCATCATTATGGGAAAAACACTGAGAATGTTTCTTCTCATTTTTGAATGCACCACACATTAATACCTATAGTCTCCCTGCTGTGAAATTGGACCCTAGAGCCCTAGGATTTATTTTTTTTCATAAAACTGTGTTTATGGACCCATCATTCACTTTCAACAGATAACCAGAAGTGGGATACCTGAATCACAATCTTATAAATTTTTAAGAAAAGATCAGTCACTCCTGATGGCTTCCTCTTTTTGCATGGGCATGTGTTCCTATCTTAGGCACCATGATTCCAAATGCCACCATATGTGCTCATCAACAAGTCATGACAGCAGGCTTTGAAATGGGAAGTTTATATTTCATTTTTAAATGTGTTGGGTGTGTATAGTGTGTTTCATTTATTTGCCTCACTACAATTGTGAGATACAGCATAAGTCCTTCACTTTCTAAACACACACACACACACACACACATACAACACACAGTATATTTACAACTCCCCCTAATTTTCCTTGTTTTCATGAAGAATAAACAGTTTCCCATATGAACTAGAACATACCTACTTCAAGATGGTGAGTCTTGAGCCCAGTTGTCTATGAGAATCTTACAGTTATTCCCCTTTAATAGAGAAGGGAGACTGCTAAGCAGATGGGACAGGGCAAGTGCAATTAGCATGATTACCCTATTTCTGTTTTACCTAGGGTGACACAGAATATTGGTGGTATTTTTTTAAGACCTATGTGTAAAAAAGTGTTGCAGTAAAAAGCACTTCATTTTTATTTATTTATATGTATTTATTTTATTACTGGAGATTAAACCCATAGCTGATATACCACTGAGCAACATCTCTGCTCTTCAGTTATTTATTTTGAGAATAAATAACTTGCTAAGTTGCTGAGGCTGGCTTTAGAAAAGCACTTCTCCTGCCTCAACCTCCTCAGTCACTGGGATTACTGGCATGTGCCACTGTGCCTTGGGGGAAAAAAACCCAACAGATCTGAAATGTTCAGGGAAAGAAGTTTTCTTATTCACTTGAATTATCACAAACCCCATGAGTTTTAGAGTATTTTTAACAACTTCCTCATGTTTGCCTGTTCTCAAAATGGAATAAATAATAGTCAAAGTAAAACCATCAACTGAATATTAAAATATTTTGGGGGAGGTACTGGGGATTGAACAAAGAGATGCTTGGCCCCTGAGCCACATCTCCAGACCTTTTAATATTTTATTTAGAGACAGTCTCATTGAGTTGCTGAGGCTGGCTTTGAACATGGAATCCTCCTGCTTCGGCCTGAGCCACTGGGACTACAGGTGTGCACCACTGCACCTGATTTAAATGACCTTAAAGGGAGTCTCACAGCACCCTTCCAGCCCAGTAGGCAGAGCAGAGGACTTTAGGTGTTTGTCCATGGGGATGTGTAGGTTACTATCTCAAATGTCACCAAAGGTGTTGCCTTAAGGAAACTTGGAGAGCAGGTAAGCACTGTCGTTTGAGCATCTGCATGACTCCCACAGCATCCCCAGGTGCTTTGCAAAGGAAACTGCTAACAAAGTTTGCTTCACTGACAATCAACTGAGTTGCTGGAGGAAGATCACTTCTCACGAAATTGAGGACTCATAGGAAGGGAGAGCACCCTGTACTAATGTGTTAGAGTCTGTAAACAAGCCAAGATGGGGCCTGGCATTTTGCCAGAGGGAGTGGTTTGTGAAGTAACGCCAGCGAGCCATTAAGTGTGGAGATTCCTTATTGGTTGACTGCTGTATCTAGTTTATGTTAATTAAGATAAGCTGTGTGGAATGTATATATACCCCTCCTGCCTACAATAAATGGCTCCCACTCCTGCTGTATCAATCTACACAAGTTGCTTGTCACCCCCCAGTTATTTTGCTGCAGCCGGACTGCGGCACTAATGTTTCCCTTTTAAGCTTTTTTTTTTTTTTATAGATTTGATGCCCTTTAGAATCTTCTGTAATATTGGTACTTGCTGTGAATAAGCATGTTATTAATGACTATTTGAAGCACTCACAAAGTAGATAACATACCCTCAAGTGCTGCCATTTAGGTTGTGCTAGCAGAGTGGCACTGTTCATTATCTGCTCCCCAGGCACAAGCCCCTCACTCCTGGGCTCCTGTTCCTCACACAGGCTCTGACTTTACTCATTTTTGCATTTGAAACCATCAGCATTAAGATCCTCAGTCTGCTCCTCTCATCACACTCCTTACAAAGAAGGAAGAGGGCAACTGGCCAGAGTTCTCTGCAGTGGAACTGATGAGGGGCATGCAAGCACTCCAGGATTTATTATTACCACTTCAGACACTCCCAGAAAGTGTGTGGGCCCTGAAAATTCAGAAATCATTCTGGCTTCTTGGGCAAACACTCATTCCACTATAGTTGTGGGTGGACTTGCCCACCTAGGTCTTCTGCAGAGGAAAGGAAATGTCAAGCTGCAGGAAAGATTGGCTTGTATTGGGCACCCCTGAGCCTGTGGGTACCTCTTGAGAGGGCAAGGAATTCCCTGGGTGCCATCTGGGTAATGAGGGTTCATGGCTGAGCATGAAGTCAGAGAGGTTCTGTGATGGCCTGGTAGGTGCCCAGGGCTGCAAGGGGGTGCAAAATAAGCCCAATTGATGGTGCAAGTTGGCATCTCAGTGCAGGCAGGGAAAGCACAGCAAGCATGCTGCAAGGGCTGCATTGTGTGTGCGTCTGACACATGTGCAGTGTATATAAAGGCTGTTTTTTTTTTTAATTTTTTATTGTTGGCTGTTCAAAACATTACATAGTTCTTGATATATCATATTTCACAATTTGATTCAAGTGGGTTATGAGCTCCCATTTTTACCCCATATACAGATTGCAGAA